CTCCACTATAAATCAAAGGATGATATGATGATTGTGGAAACACTAGATGCGTATTACTGCTGGGATTTGAAGACCGCCCACCTCGAACGCGTCAGTGGAGATGACGAAATTCTCGAAGCTGCGGATTCCGTTGTGCTCTTGTCGACGGATGCCGATCCGTCTGACCAAGCAGTGTGGGGTCGAAGCATCTATGAAGAACTCAATCATTGGGTTCCACCCATTGCGTTTACGATTCTTATCAATCTGAAGCGGGTCGTGAACGACCTCCACGGACAGCAGCTGGTGCTTGAGACGCCCTCTCGCCCACAAACACCCTCTGGTACAGAAAGTACGATCTCAAGCCCTGTCGCCTCAACTGCGTCAAGTACAAAGTCTCTGCGGTCCCCCCTGGCACGGAACCGAGACGGTTCTCGATCACGTCGAGAAAGGTCGGGCTCGCGTTCCACCCACCATTTCAGAGAGTTCAAAGAGCTCTTTAAAATCAATCAGAAGCCACCACCGGCACCAACGATTCCTGTATCCTTACTTGGGTCGCAGCTGATAGTGTCAGAATGCCCGAAGGAATTACCGCGCATTGATGGGATTGCTGCTATGGCTCTGTTTAATGTATTTGCTCAGGAACTACGAGATACCAAAGCGAACATGAACATCAGTTGTGGAACACGATGTGCTTGGTCAATGCTTTCCCTATTGGCGCCGCGAGACAACCCTCTGCCCGTTTGGGGTGTTAGCGGCTTCATAAGTGGCGGGCACCTCTTAGCCGTCAGTGCCTTGGGTCGTGCGCTTCAGGATTATCCCACGTGTGTCGGCCACATGGAATGCCCCTTATTGGGAGCTTGTGACGCTGACAAACTCCAACAGTGCATCGCTAAGTTGCAAACTCAAATTCACGATAGGCAGGACGCACTGGCGTTTCCTAGTTTTGCCTTTCTTGCAAAGTACTGGGAGGACGCCATAGAAGACATTCGTTTGTCTGCGCGCGAAGCGTTTGAGGCTACTCTCAAAGTGATGACAATGAGTCAAAAGACACAAATTGTGCGGTACTGGGCGATGTACATAACCGATGGCAGTGGCACCATCGGTAAGATGAATATGAGGGCAGCTGTCATTCTGGGAATTGTTGGATGTTTCCATTGGGAATGCTTAGAATCTGTGGCCGAGTAAGTCAATATCTTGAGGTCGTTTCGCTACTGATGTATTTAATCCAATATCTGGCGAAGCGCACCAAGACAGGTAGCCCGCTTGCTCGACAGAATGCTAAGGGACGAGAGCACTCCGATCATGTACCGCACTACAGCCATCGATCTACTCGGGCGAGGCTTCGCCGGATGGGAAAAATTTGTTGACAGCGGCGGCATCGTCAAACTTCTTGTCATGTATTCCGGGGTGGATGGAGGCCAACCGGATGCAGATGACTCTGCAGCGAACAAAGGGGCGTCTCTGGTTGCTGTATCTCGGCAGTCCATTGTCAACATTGCGCGGGCATCACCAGAGCTCTTCATACATTCCTTGCTGTCACTTCTTACCAGCGGTTCAATACCCAGCCGCACGGCTTCCTTGAAGATTTTACTCATGCTAGTATCGAAGCAGCCGCTGTTATTGTACCCGCATCTTGCCATGATAGTGGCGAGTTTGGTAAAATGCTTGGATCCCAACGTTCCGAACGTGCGTGATGCCTTGCAAGGCTTGGTGACCATATCGATTGCGGAAATGGTTCGAGTATACCCATGCGTCGATTTTTCTCGAGGTCCTCAAAGGCTCAGTGTAGCCTATTCTCGTGGAGTCGAGGTTTGGGATTGCCGCATTGCCGGAAAACTGCAAACATTGGAGGTACGCTTTCTTGATCAAGTTTGGAACTTGTGGAGTTAGTCCTGAATTTTGCCTCATTTTTAGCATCCCACCTCACCTTTGGCAATAGCCACGTCTCCGGACGGCCGGCTGCTTGCCACCTACTCTGCGGATGAGAACGTAGTTCGGATATTCCAGCCTTCTACTGGACTGTTCAATTCGCTTTTGCCTTCAACGGGACACTTGAAGTTGTTTCGATCGTTCACCATTGGCCCAGCGAAAGCCGCCACCCCGGATAGCAAGCGTCAGACGCTGAGCGAGACCGCACTAATGGCTATACGGTTTCGATGGAACGAGGACCGTCGAGTGACATTAACAGGAAATGAAGTGGAATTTAGCTTTACCGTCTAGATGATAAACTTGGCGAAGTTGACTGGACAAAGCAGTGCCGTGTGCTTAATTCAATTAAATAGTTAAAAAACCTATGTTTCATCAAATCGCCGATGGCTTGTAATACTATCGTCTTGTGAACATGGGTGTGTCACGCTGACCACCGAATGGTACATACATTAAGCCCTTGCGAAAACGTTCATTGCAACCATAAGGTCACTGACTTAAGGATTCTGTGACCTCTCAACATCCGTCAAGTCCAGCGGCTTAACCGGAGGCGCGAATGAAGTTGCATCCAATCCAGACAACTTCGAAATAGACATATTTTGTCCCATTGGCGCGGGCCCATTCCGCCGAGATGGGCGCGCGGATTCCGACACCGCGCGAGACTGGTCCGATTCTAGGTCACCGAAAGAACCCAGCTTTTGTCCCCTCGACTTGTTTCTTGATTGAGGATTCGAATGGTTGGCGCCCTCTTCTCGCATCGCAAGGACGAACAGCAGGAAGAGCCCATACCGAACTCCGGTTAAGAGTGACGTGACGCCTGTTCGATACTCGAGGACAGTGTTGCTGGTGATAATGTACGAGCAATGTAAAAGCGATTCAAGAAAGAGATAGAGCAGGCCGGTGGTAAAGAAATGAGAGAGCAGTCCTGGGTTTGAACGCGTGCTTGTCACCGTGAGAGCTTTCTTTTGAAGTAGCAGATGCGACTTGTAGTACGTGACAACGAAATCTATGAATTAGACGGCAACGAATTAGCCAACGTGAACCTCTTATTAGACGTTAAACGCAACCGGCGATGGCTTACATCCGGAAAGCCCAAACGCGGTCAGAGTTTGGGCGATACTGACGTAGAAGTACATTCTCATAGCGCGGTCAGTCGCGCCTTCTTCTGTGTGAGCTTCCACAACCCAGAATATCCAGTTTGCAAGGACAAGAAGCGATTCGACGATCAACCACGTCAGGGTAACTAAACGCAACTTCTGCTGAAATGGAATCACCATGCTGAACCGAAGGTAAAGCACCCAAGTAAACGTCTCGCTACTGATCAAGTAGCCCCCGACGCCCACACCGATGGTAAGCGCTGGTGAGTTCGGCGCTGCCCCAATCTACAGATATCCACCATAAGCTTTGGGAAATCAAACGGCATGCGAACGGAAACCATGCTACCTACCTTTGGCAGTAAGTTGCAGAGAACGCCCAGCATATGAGCCAGAATGAATAGGCATATAAGCCGCGACACAAGCGAATGCTTGTTCCGAAAAGCGAGGGCCCAGACAATCACATCGACTATCAATACTGTCAGCGCAGCGGTTCGCAGCATTAAATCGCGGACGCGAGGCAGGTAGAAGATGGCATTCCCGTCGATATAGTAGAGCTCGTTGTTCGTTATGACGTTGTTCGGATCAGCAAGCGCGGTGCCCGCCAGCGCCAGCGCCACCGCTGCGATCCAAGTAAAACAAGGACTCATGGCGACTGCAGTTAAGACGCAAATCTTGAAATCGTCCCCCCTACTCGAAGAACCATTATGGCTTTATAGGTCTTCGGAAGATCGTTGTCGCATGTTACTATTCATATCTGAGAGATTTGCGTCATTCATCGTTTCGGCTGGAAGGTTGTGTACACTGTGCGTTTGTTTCTTCGACGGTACGGAAAAGCCCGGCCGCACCACAGACAATTGTGGCGATCCTGAATCAAAGTTAAAAATAGCTTCAGATCGTCAACGTTGTAAGACTCATCATACCTGGGTTATCACTTGCATTGAACGGTATCTACAATCAAGTGAGGGCCATCCACAATCTCGATAAGAGATCCTTCTCAAACATCCGTGCGTCCAAAACATAAGGGTTTGTTCCAGGCCTTATAATGTGAACAATTAGCACCAACGAACCACTCTGTCAACAACAGTCGAATATATTCCATCGCTCGAGCGGAGAACCGCCAGGAACTGATACAAGTCTTACATTCAAACACACAGCAAACCACATCTAACTAACTATCCCAACCACAGAACAGTGCAGACGCGTTGGTTGCGTTTGCTCGCGCCCGATTCTATTACTCGATCACCCCTTTGCAAATCACCATCTCAGAGTTCAAGAACCATTCTCCTGCCTTCAACCATCACACCCTCCCAAATAACTGCACAGAAGCTGCACAGACACTCCTGCATTGACGCTCGATTCCTTTTGGATTTGGAGTCTTGCCGGAGAACACACTTCTCCTGTTCGAATGTCGAAAAGGATCGTGTAAAATTCTTGCCATTCAGCAGGATATCTTATGATCCATAGCTGCTGGCAAGGATTCCTGTATTTTACTTGCCTACGAGACAAGCCTTGCGTCGTCAGCAAGGATCCTGTATTTTACTTGCCATGCGAGACAAGCCTTGCGTCGAGCGAGGATTCCGGTATTTTACTTGCCTATGAGACAAGCCTTGCGTCGAGCGAGGGTGCGTGGAACGAAGGTTCCTGTATTTTACTTGCCTACGAGACAAGCCCTTGCGTCGAGCGAGGGTTCCTGTATTTTACTTGCCTACGAGACAAGCCCTTGCGTCGAGCGAGGGTTCCTGTATTTTACTTGCCTACGAGACAAGCCTTGCGTCGAGCGAGGGTGCGCCGAACGAAGGTTCCTGTATTTTACTTGCCGTTCCGTGACGACAAGGACCAGCCCCCCCGAACCAGGCGGTGAAGAGAAACGAAGGAGTTCCTCGGGCCCAAGCGCTTTTTATACCCGCGGCAATGAACCGTCGTCATGGAAATGCAAGCAGGTGATTAACCCTAACTCCTACCACTCTGGTGAGGTGATTTTCGGCAAAAGCAAAATTGTGCACGCTACCGGATTCGAACCGATGCCTCCGAAGAGATGGGAACTTGAGACCCACGCCTTAGACCAACTCGGCCAAACGTGCCACGATAAAAAGACCGTTTGGCTTCGTATGTTGATTTCCAAAGCTCCTCCCTTCGGGTAAACTTGACATGTCACGTGATCTGGTAGGATGCTGCGAAATGAGCGTGTGGTCAGCCTTCGATCATTTCGGAACTGAAGCAGCGAGTGGACGCAGGAGGTCCTGGGAAGAATAGAAGGAAGCGCAGGTGTCAGAAAGCGACGATTGGGGAAAGCGGGAGAGGGAGTTTGAGTGAACGCGGAAGAACATAACTGGGCATTTGAGTGAATCACAGGCGAGATAGAACACGCAGAACTGTTGACGGCATGTCTTCCCATCACCCTTCCAACGACGACCTCCGCGAACGCGAAGATACATTGGGTGAGCACGATGGATCAGATGCAGAGAACCGCCATCCGCATATTTTGGGGTATAACGATGATGTGGGGACAGAAGAGTCATCTGAAGATGAGGACGAACCCGGCAACTACTGGTGTCATCAGTGCAATTCGCAGATTTCCGCTGTTTTGGACACTGGAACGCCAACGTGTCCAATATGCGGGGGCGAGTTCGTTGAAGAGATTGAGATATCCACGGATCCACGCGCATTCTTGCCTACAAGTTACGATACAGATGAGGACGATGACGGCGAGTTAGTTTTTATAGCAGGTGGAGGCGGATCACCAAGTAGAACTGGTGGTGGTGTTGGCCACCCAGCTTTTGCTATGCACGCAGGCACCACTCGAGGCGGTGCCGGACAGCAAGGCGCCAACGATGTTGCGAATATGTTGCAAACATGGTTGCAACAGATCATGGGCGGCAGTGTGGGTATCACTGTCAACGCGCAAAGCCCTCATGGAAGGAATCAACACAGTACAGGAGACACATCAGAAGGGCATGCTCCGGCGGCTGAGGAACCGGGCGAAGCGGTTGGAATGGGCGCGGTCGCAGCTGAAGAGAATCCTTTCAACCATAGAAGGAGTACTTCTAATACTGGTGGCACGGCAAACATTCCAGGCGCGTTCGTCACGGGCCGTCCAATTAACATTGGGATAAGAGCAGCAGCACCACCTAGTGGTAATGAAGGTGGCGGCGGAGTACCGATTCTGGACTTGACGGCGTAAGTAACGTTTGCGGTGTACCATTTCAGTAGACTGTATTCCATTGACACTTGAATATGACATTCAGCATGCTCGAGAGTATCCTTGGAGCCCCTTCCAACACATCTAACACAAACAACGCTTTCACCAACCCGTTTGCTCAGATGTTCAACATGGTTGGCAACCCCGGGGATTATGTTCTTTCTTCTTCACATCTGGACTCCATCATCACCCAGCTTATGGAATCCGCTCAGAGCCGCTCGGCGCCTCCACCAGCGTCGTCAGACCAAATCACATCTTTACCCAAATTCCCTATTTCGCAATGGGAGTTGAGCGAACACGGGGAGTGTCCCATATGCCAGGACGAATTTCGGGAAGGGGAAACGGTGAAAGGATTTGTGGGTGACCATCAAGGCAAAAGGGACAGCGCAACGCCGAATGACGACGTTCAGAAGCGATGCGGGCACATTTTTCACCCAGAGTGCATCGATAAATGGCTTGCCGTCAATGGTATACAGTCCTTGTTCACATATGCGTTCCCAGTATATTGACCAAGGCGATTCTTCGTAGGAACCTGTCCTGTTTGCCGGTACTCTCTTGTCTCTGAGTCTCAAGATCCCAATACCCAACAGAGTCAAAACAATGCAACGTCGGGCTCGTGATGGACTTACCTCTATGCGCTCATGGGACGACTGATGACGAAGGAGTGTCTGACCCCTTCTATGCTTGTACAGAGAATGCATAGCCTTTGCATATTGGCATAGGGTCGCTTTTTGGTAAATAAATTGTGTCCGCGTACTCTGCTGCGGTGATTAGAAGAGCCTTAATTATGTAGCTTTTCATTCACACATTAGCCTCAATGATACTAATTAGATGCATTTTGCCTGAATAGATATTGCATATTATTTCTTGGAATTCATTCCATAATATCTCAACTCCACATCCTCTACACGCTTTCCACGCATTCTGGCAATCTCTTCGGGTAGCCTCTGTGTCTTCAAGGCCTCAAACATTGCCTTTATGACGTTCATGGGGTTACGTGATCCGTAGACTTTCACACCAAGATCGGAGATGCCGACCATACGACAAATTTCGTGAATGGGATTGCTCGTTATGATACCATACCCTGCACGTTTTGTCAGCAATCATTTTCGGTTTTTCGCGTTATAACGCCGAATCTTGCGTCCAACACACAACTCACCTGGTGGTGCGGCCATAATCTTCAGTTTTACTCCGTGCCATTGAAATTCTCCGCTTTGGTAAACTGTCCTGTTGTTGAATCGATGAAAGTAGTTCAGATTCTTCTCTGCGTTTCGCGTTGCCTTGAGCACTGCACTCTGCATGTCAGCTCCACGGCCCTCTCCATAACCGGCCACACCGTTGCCATTGCCTACTACAACGAGGGCGGACACGCTTCGCACTTTTCCACCCGAGTTGACCCGGGCCACTCGACGGACATGGAGGACGCGGTTCATGAGTCGCTTGCCGGGCGTCGCCGATACTCGAGTCTGTGTGGGATACGTACGGTCGTTAGAGGTGAATTGTGGCTGTGATGAGAAAGATGTAGAGTCGTCGGTGTTGTTGTTGTTCCCGTACGGCTTGCTGGAAGCTGCTCGCGCTGGTGTTGCTGATCTTGTCAGGAGCGACGGCAGAGCTACATGTTGACAATAAGATGATTGACTCCAAACTCATTTACGAAAACGCATCTTGCCACCAACCAAATGTTCTGCTCATGATGCGATCCGTCAAATGTGAATGACTGGGCAAAAGGCACCGCAGCCCCATATTCAATCTCGTTAAGGACATTCTATCTGTAATAATGTTACTTCCGACTCCGCAATCCAAACCAATTTCTCCTCCCCGCCGGTCGATTGGTGTAGTCGGTGTATGTGTCGATGTCGCTGCCGTTCACCGAAAAGCAGATTTCCAAAATCCTAAGGCGTTGCTATAGGCAACAATCGTGCACAGTCATCCAACGCGCCTCAAGAATTTGAGGAAGTTGAGCAGCGACAAACCGGCAATTCAAAAGCAAAGCTGGTGAACGAGAGAAGCAGAGGATGATACAGGAACAACTGTTTCGTCAGAGAGTCGTGCGCTATCTTGAGATCTCGATAAGAAGAAAGGGTTTCGTCGGCAGTTACCGGTCATCGTCTTCTACGGCAAGCACTTCCAGTGGGAAGCATTCTGATGTCGACGAAGAGTGGACATCTCTAACGCTTCGATATCCTCTCACCCATCTGCAGACAGGAATTAACATATACTTATGCGGAGTCCATCACCATTCCCCATCGTCACTGGACCGCGTGCGGCGCGTTATCCAAAAAGTAAAGCCAAAGGCCCTGTGCCTTGAGGTGGATCAGAAACGATGGAACACTCTGGGATTTGACTCTTACTTGTTAAATGAGTCGGGGGAACCTGGACTTGATCTTCGATTACTGAAGGGAGTACAAACAGTGGATAGTAGCAATCCGAGCTATCTGAACGATGAAGACAACTCGAATTCTCCCGCAACAGATTCTGATTACGGGGCTGAGATGCCTTTAGCGTATCACCTTGCACTGCGAAATTATGCGAAGTGTGTCACCAGACTGATTGATCAACATCCGAACACCCTTTCCCATCCGTCCTCTCGGGCCATCTTAAGCTCGCTTATCAAGAAGTATTCACTTAAGCCATCTTTTGTCCGTCCCAACCTGATTTCACGTGGGTTGTTCAAACTTTTGCTGTTCTCGTCGTTCGGCTCACGAGCTATCAGCATTGAACGGGAAATTGGTGAAGATAAGGCAGGCGTTGACGACTGGAAGTTGTATTTACGAATATGGAAAACGTTCCACCCGCGAGACTGGTTCTGGTGGGTGGAGGCTAGAAATGCTGGTATGTGTGAAGGGATTACTGAGGCAGTACGTGACCTGGGATACTATTATGGACGCTTGGAAGAAGGTGCAAATGCAGCAGCGCAGAAAGGCACAAATGATTTTCAGTCAGAAAACACTAACAGCAACGGTGAAATGAATATCGTCGTTGTGTGCGGGAAGTCGCACGTATTTGGATTATATGAGCTTCTGGTTACGACCCTCGTACCGCACCGCTTCAAATTGGCACCTAGGAATTTCGTTCCAGAGCTGCGGTCGGACATTCTTCCCAACGCGCCTGATGCGATGTTCAAGTATGGGCCGCAATCAATGCCTGGGCCTCAGGTCTCCATCATCGCGGGAACTGGTGTCGAACCGCGGATGCGGCAAGCGCTTCCAGTGGATGATAAGCCTAACCGTCGACCGCCGCCTCCTCCACCGCCGAGGCCACCGCCCTCACGTGCGGCCAAACAAAGGACAGGTATAACATACATCGACTGATTAAATGAGAACTCTGTACCACTGTTTAACACAGTATGGACCCTCGATTATTACTGCATCTATAAATTCATCCCATCCTTTTCCTTACCTCACCGGGAATGAGGTGATGAACTCTGCCATTCGTGCATTGTGTTCTGAGAGCATCTCGTCGTCGAAAGCCGACGCAAACGCGTGGCGGCACAGTCATGTAGCATATACTAAGTGACGACCTCGTCTTTGTCTCGCTTTGGCACTCACGTCGATCGCAGCGAAAACCACCGCCCGCTTAGCACACCAGCTCCACCGCATACCGAGCAGAGAATAAGGGAGGAGAAGGAGTAGAGATAGGATTGTGTGGAAACAAGGCATTCAGACTACCGCCGTTCTTTTCCAACAACAATGGCGGACGATCGACGCGCCAAGGTCTTGGCCGACTACCGCAAGGCGCTGCTGCAGCACCGGGAACTGGAAGCCAAAGTCAAAGAATGTACGTACAGGCAAGAGTTATGTGATGGGTTTTCTGATGTGCAAATCGTTAACCCCATCTTTGACCTAGTACGACTGGGCGTGCGGTCTTTAGAGAAGGACTATG